ACCTCCAAAGAATTACGTACTGGACATCCATCAAGCTGAAGAATCATTTATTCTCGTTGATGCCGAAGAACATCATCTAACAGTGTAGGCAAAACCAAAGTAAAAAAATTGAGGAACGGAACACCATTTAAATTATTTTCGTCGAAATAAAGCTCAATTAATTTATTTCGGAGAAGACCACACCAAACGTTCATACTGTGAACCACCTAATGATGACAAGAGTACGAATTTCTCGGATTTTCGTCTGCCCACGAAAATTCCAACGGTTTCGTATGTCATTAGAGGTGAACTTTGTTACACCCAAAAGTTGTTTCGGGTCAGAGCAAAATTTATCCCTGTAGCTCGTCGGGAGTGGGGGTGGGTCAGAGTGGAGAGGCAATGCACAAAATATATTAAAAAAATAAAATAAAATATTAAAAACCAAAGAAATATTGGTGAGTTGGGCGCCAACCCATTTTATGCGTCCAGAGTAATGGGGAACTCCTTTAACTAAAACATATATTCTTGTTTGTACGCTAAATAAATTTGGGAAAAATAAATAAATAAACAAAACTATCAATATATGAGAGGAAAGTAGTATTTTCTATAAAAAAAATAAATGATTTACTCTATTCCATGGCGAGTGTTCGCCATGGGGGGGGGGGGTTGCACTCCAGGCAATGCCACTAGGCTTGGGCCAGGATAAAGTCAGCCTAACACGGCGGGTCCTGATCAGCAACCTTACCTTCTCCTTATCGCATTCGAATTCCCTCTGCTTAAATGATTATTCATACATTTACGAGGTACCTGGCCATGCAAAGTAATCAAGCCAAACAAAGAAAAGGAGGTTATAATAATTACATATATGATTATAGCATATACGGAGGGAAATAAAACACAAAAAAAATAAATGAGAATCCTCTTAACAATGGGGCGATTTATTATTCCTAAGCAGAGTGAAATTAAAATAAGTACTTTGTTTCCTTAACCAGCTATAAAATAAACAATAAACCAGATCTGGACTAACTTAAAAGAATTAAAACTTAATCATCTAAATTAACAATAGAAAATCGCTAAAATTAAAACAAACAAAAATCACTTCTTCATGCAGTCTTTCCCGTAAACCAACAATTTTACTTGGAAATCACAGGTCCAGCCACAACCATCCGCCGAGTCCTCCTGGGCTCCAGTCCTGCCGAAATCAGCTCCAAATAAAAGAGAAAATCTCCGGAGAATTAGGGCCGCCTCTATATCCTGTCCGAAAACCGCGAACAGACAGTCCTCGCTCGTCGCCGTGGTCTGGTGAGGAAGGCGCCCGGTGGAAACTCCAAAAATGGAAATACCCACGAAGGAAAAAAAACAAAAATCCGGACGAGCCGTTTTCCGAAGAATCTCTATTCGTTGCCCACTCGTAGGTGTTTTCCGCACTGTTCTCTTCGGCGACCTCTGGCACGGTCCAAGCGATCGCGTTATCGCTTAATCCCCGGCACTAAATACACACACGTAATAACAACACTCATTGCTGATTTTCACCAATTTTTTAACTAATAAAAATGTATCCATCTTATTACAAGGTTACATACCTCCTCACAAGAAAAGGAGGCTGATCGAGGCGAGAAAATAAAAAATAGATTTTGGGGCAAAAAAAACCACTTTCCTCTCTTACAAACATGATATTATAAAACCCTTTTTTTTTGTCACAATTCGAATTCATCAGTCCGTAGAATGTATTGAAGAATGTTTTCTTAAGCCTCCCAAATCGATAATTGTGCAAGGAACGTTAGACGCCTGTCATAGTTAAAGTACCGAAATCCCTGGACAAGATGGGGCTTAAAATTGTAAGTCCGGAGTACATCTCTAATTTTATTTTTTGAAAAATTTAAAATCCCTCCAAAATTTTGCAGAGAGGAATTCGGATTTTCGCGAACATACAGTAAAATATTCAGTTCCTCGTCGAAATTACGTTGCCGGTTTCTTGGTGATGGAACAGCAACTAACCGTTTCTCCTCATATTGCGAGCAAAACGAATTTTTTTTTATATAAGTTGGATGTGGCGGACCACTGGTCAAACCATTTTACAATATTTTCTCCGTATTATTCACAATTAGAAATGCTAGCGTGGCAATAAGTTGGACGCCCTGAACACTTGTTTGTATACCAACTTTTGTGTTAATATTTTTTTCGTTATGAGCTTTTGTATTGTTTTCATTAATAAAACGAAATCTTAATGTTATAATGTTTAATTCCTTTGATAAATTTCTCGATTTTTTCACTTACTGATTGTACTTTCTAAATTTATGTTAAACGAAAAAACAATGTGCTTTATTAAATTTATTAGTTAGACCCAAGGCGCACAAACCAACACTCACGCAACACTGATGGGTCGTGCTGGCGTAGCCTATTCTACAAATAGACCTTGAAGTATTGTTTCAAACGTCACTTCTTTTTCATTTATCTTTAAATTTATTATTTAACTGATTAATATTATAAGCATGATTTTTCAAAAAATAAATTGTACTATTAGTTTTAATATTTTCAAGCCACTCTCCCTCCAATCTATCATAACTTCATCCCCTTTTACACTATTGCTTTGTACATAGAAAAGCGACTGACCTGGAATCTCTATGCTTGACTCATCATTGCATCAGTGCAGTTTACACGCAGTTCAGTACTGAACAAAGATCAACTCAAAAATCGGCGTTTTTAATTTTCCATTGAACTTTGTTCGAATGATGAACCTAGTTCAATTTGGAACGGCCGTCGAGAGTTGGTTAAACTGTTCACAGTTGAACAGCGTTTATGTGTTAATATAACCAGCATTCTGGTTGGTTGTTAAAGACGTTTTCTCACAATTTAACTCATCAACAAACGCTGAAAATTATCCAAATTTGAATCAATTTTTTTTCACACGGTTTAATAAAAGTAGAACAATTTTTGATATGTAAATCATTCTTTCTTATACATGGAGGGCCGTTAATAGCCCGGGTGTTTCCAAAATTGTTTAGGTTGTGGGGGGCTATAAATACCGAGAAATTCCCTAGTTGGATAAAAGTGAATACGTAAATTCTATGTCCCACCATCACGTCTCTGAAGGCTTCGGCTGCATACATCCTGGGTAACGTCTTAACGACGGCTAACGGTAGGGGGCGAATGCGACTCCCAAGGAAATAGTAGGCTAAGGGGACAAATCAATCAGAAAAGCTAAGTTGTAAGGCAACGTGCTAAGGGATGAATGGCGGCACGGGGTAAGTTCCGGTCTTTAACGTTCATCTAGCCTCCTTGTATTTGAGTCACCTTACCGGCGGGAGTACCTTTAACTCCTAGCTTCTCGTGGGAACCATAAAACTACACTCGTACCAAACGAAAAACTACTAATATAAAACAAACCTTTAGTGCGTGTAGCAGTGCCCCAGGTGAACGCAGAATGTCCCATTAACTAGAGTCATAAAAGCTGACTCCCTTGAGTAGATAGCTTATCTCTCGGCAGAAGAATATTTTACGCCCGACTGTCGGTCGGGAAACGCAAGTAGAAACGCTTGCTAAAAAAAGGAGTCGAGAACGTTCAAACGGTCTGTAAAGCCTGTTTTCCGTTAGTACTACAATGATGGTGTTGGCAACACAATTATGTTTATTTAGAAAAAATATAACATAAAATGGAAGGGGTTCTACTCCCACTATCGCGTCGTTTCTGGAATTTTCGATCCACCCCTTCCAGCAAAAAAATAATCAAAATAGAAAACTAGGCTGGCTATATGTGGTAAACACAAAAAAAAATATTTTGGCGAAGGCCATTCTCACATAGCATATATATTTTCCACAAATATTCAAAATCCATCACGAACCCGCAACAGTATTGAAAGTTGATGCTGGGTGTTGGTCGACAGTCGGTGAACTCATGCTGAACAGGCATAGGGACCGGTCTTCACTGGAGGATTATTTGAACTATTCTTCAGCGAGAACGCACTGTTATTCAACAAGTGAAGAGAATATTTGAGTCAATGCCAGTTCAGCATGAATATATACGAGAAAAAAAGAATGAAACTACTCCAAGGCCTACGAAATTGGAGGCGTTGGAGTCTAGGTACCCGGACACATAAATCTGAAAGTTAATGAAAAATGGGACAATGCTGCTAAGGCCGGGTCCTAACCTTGAGTTCTCTGACGCTAAAAGTTCATTAAAAAACATGAATAAACGAACGTGGTCTGAAGGGCAGGGTCGGCTGAGCTCTCACGTACAGTCGATGAGTGGCCCGCGGAGGATCTGGCTCGTTAAAAGGCATACTCACCGGATTAATGATAGGCCATGCGAGGTTGACACAGGATACTTTCTTTTGGGCCAAAACCTATGTAAAGAAAGGGTGTTCGACGTGTTCCACTTAGTTGAAGTGTGCCATTACTTGGCTCCACATGTAGGGATGCGACCCGATATGAGAATTGTGCTTGCGCAAGGCAAAGAGTATCTGGGTCACCCGTTCCGATTTTTGAAAGAAACAGGGCTGAATATTTTACTTTATAGATATCCCGTCTTGTGTTTCTTTGTGTAAATTGATATTGAATTAATTTATTACCGTGAGTTTGTGATAGGATCAATGGCGGTATGTTGAGTACCGATCAACACTCAATCAAATTAGTTTTATAATGGAAGTGGGTGATTGAAGAATTTCAAGCACTCCACCATCTAACTGAATGAATGCAAATAGAAAAGCATGTATTTAAAAATGAGTGAGTGTCAGGGGCTTAGATTTAGAAACTGATTGCGTGGAGGGTTGAAATGACCTAGCTGTTCAAGCCATCTGGAGCCCAACCTCGGTGACAGGACAGATAAGACAGAGGTCATCCCCGACCATCAACACCGGTCTGCTGGTAATTTGTTGTAAAGTATACAACCAATGGAATGCTGGCAGACAGTGAAAAGTTATACATATATAAACCCTGTACAAGTGTGTATATATGCATATCCATACGTAGGGTTAAGCTTATAATCAGTGAATAAGAGGCATTTTGAAGGAAACAAATTTGAGAATGTTTGAATATTTATATTATATTACCATATTCTTATTACATTACTAATTAATATTACATTAAATTGCAGTGTTAGTTATTCGAGGGCGTTGAATCTGCGACGTCAGCCTCCAATTGAGTCAGTGTCGATAGTGTAAAGGAATCATCAGGACCTTCCTTATCCTAGAAAATTCGAACCCTGTTTTATTAACGAAAATCTTAAAATTTTAATAAACCAACAGGTGTTAATTAGAGGTTTCACGCAACAGACAGGTAAACGTGGACGTAATGTTTCGAGGGTGAAACCGCCGGTGACTGCAGCTAGGTTAGCGCCATAAATTCTAGCTAATTGCCAATTAAAACGAAACCCTATGCTAAGCTTGGGCGGTTTTGCATTGTGATTCCCATCAATTTCCTCTACGAAAAGTAAAAAAGCTAAACACTCTTGCAGTACTCGTTATTATAAAAACAAACTATGAGTACACTATTAATTTCACAAAGTGGCTTATGAAATCAGGAAACAGTTGATTGAGTAAATTGCATTTGATTTGCACATGAACATATAATTAAAGAGATAGAGAGGATAATTTATTCCGTGCATTTAGATATAGCAGTCAAAAAGTGTATCAGCTAAAGTAATTTCGAAGACATTTTTAATCCTTTCTTACCTTGCTATTGATCTTTTACTTTTTTTTAATCAAGTAAAATTGTTATATTGCTAAAAAATTACCAAAAGCCAGTAAATATATTTAGCACTATAGGATACCGCAAAAAATGTTAATATTGGCATTTAGATATTGAGGTGACAAAATTGAAGTGGCCAAAATTATCAGAAACTACCGTCCAAAATATAACTTTATTGTTAACGCCTGGAGATAGAAAACCTTCTAAATCATGTCTGGAAATGAAGAACAACCAGTTATTTTTGTTTTACCTGGGAATAAATTGGATTGTAAAAAGACTGCCTTCGTTCCTCTCTAGCAGGATCTGGCGGACACACTTCCAAAATTTCACCATCCTCATCCCCGGATCCAGATTCGTTCTGAAACCTGGCGAACCTGAACGCTCCCAGCTCCGCCGTCGATCCGAAGCTGGGAAACGGCACATTGACACTTGAAAAAACAAAACGTTGATAATTAAAACCCGCTGGTGTTTTATATTCAGTGCAGACAAGGCTTACCAATAGTCTTGATAGTAAAGTATAACTGTGCATAAAATTGCCACAGCTATGAATAAGTAGAAGAAAATATACCCAATGGCCTTTTGAACGGGGTTTTTGACAACGGCCTGTTTGCTCGTTTCTAATTTCACATAAGTTTTAAATAGTTTTTCTGGAAAAAAAATTTTATCCGTATTGTACATTTCAAAATGTATTAATAAGTAAAAATTGAGATATTTACTCGAAGAAATCTTTTCTTTGAATTGAGAAGCCAAATGTTCAATGTTGCCAGTGTAATCTCCTTTTTCCACGAGCACAATCTGGATGTATCCGTTGGTCTTGCTGACGTGGCCGATAACACCATTTTCTGATGTGAACTCGTCCAGTTCTCTTCTAATTTCACCTAAATTTCCCCCTTTGAGCAAAATGTAAGCACCTACAGGAAAACAGTGTCAGTTTATATTTTATTTATTTATTAGGTTTCGTGGTCCGCTTGATCAAAGTTAGTGTCCGAGCGGATGGAAGTCACGATAGCTCAAGTGGTAGAGCAGCAGCGTATTTAGCCGAAGGTCGTGGGTTCGAATCCCGCTTGTGACACTGACTTTTTTATCTCAACCAAAACCTTAATTAATTGAAAAACAATTTATTTGGTCAAACGGACCACGAAACCTAATAAATATAATAAGCAAAATGAAATATACTTCACTAATTCTCTCCGTGGCCATTTCATTTGTCGTTGAGAATCAAATCGATTACACGACATTTGAAAAATGGCAAAAGGAGGGAAAATTCAAAAGGTGGGATTGAGATGGGAAGTTAGAGTCCGAACGGATCGAAGTCACGATAGCTCAAGTGGTAGAGCAGCGGCCGTATTTAGCCGAAGGTTGTGGGTTCGAATCACGCTCGTGACACTGACTTTTTATCTCAACCCAAAGCTTAATTAATTAAAAAGAATAATATTTCCTTTTCAGCCATCCAACAAAAGTTCCCCAAGAATCGCAGAAGCACTTTTGGCACTTCCCTTCGATGGCGTCGACGTGAATCTGCCAACCTTATTTCTCGTCGAAGAGGAGATCGAGGAACTTCACGCTCTCGGCGCCCCGGATCGGTACGCCACCCAAGCAGATCCGGGGAGGAGTGTGCTCCCTCCTCAACCTACAGAAGTGAACGCACACTGTTTTGGTCGCCGAGAACCTAAAGCCGGCCTCCTCTGCCCTGACAGCCACCACGTCGACTGCCGTCTGCATAACCTCCCCAACTTTGTTCAGGTCCTTCCCTGAAAGGTAGAAACTCAAATCGTCTACGTATAATTTAACTTGTACCTGGGGAGGTATGCCGTCGGCGATGCCATTTACTGCCACCGCAAAGAGCGACACACTCAGCACCGATAATTTATTGTTATTTGATAAAATATTGCTGATAAAGAAATAAAATGTTATTTGATGGAGGATCGTTGTTGAAAAAAATTGATGGCTTTGAAAATAAAAATATACGACACTAAAGAACCGTCGATGTTTCAATGATAAAAGATGGAGTTGAAGAAACATCGATACTATTTGATAAGATATCGATTCTAATGACACATCGATGTTACATAATGAATGGTCGAGTTAAAGAAAATCGAAAATATTTTATAAAATATCTAAGTTTAATCATGATATCGATATTGCAGACTTTATAAGCCTAGACAGTCGTGCTTCTTTCATATATATTTTTTTTCTATCTATCTATCTATTTATTTATCTATGTATTTATTTATTTATCTATTTATTTATTTATTTATTTATTATAAGTAGCTAGTAACTCAAAATAATAAATACTTTAATATAATATAATTTTTTTAAAGTACCTAATATAAGTTACCTAACAGTTTTACATTTTTTGACCGAATATAATAATAATAATAACCGTCTGAGCGAGTCTAGCACATAAACTTATATAACTAAAATCTCTCTTATTTACAATAATCATAATTAGTATTTACAAAAGGAATACAAACTTTCTTCAAAAATTTCAGTAATGTAATAATACAACATAATTGTAAAATAATAGCTGAAACATGATTTCAAATAAATACATCTTTTTTTTATTACCTATAATGCACATAACTCAATAATAAAATAAACTAAAGTAAATGGAAATAATAAAAGTAAAAATAAATAATAATGAAGTATATTATCTACCACAAGAGATAATAGTAAAAAACAAAACGAATAATAAGTGTTTAAAATGTAATATTAAGGTCGAAGATGAGCTTTTCACCTATTAAAGGGAATCCAACAAAAGAAGCCGCCTCCACCCTCACCAGGTGCCTCTGATTCTAGCTCTAAGAGAATAAGCTTCTTTGCAGAAATTTACCAATACAGCCCAATCCTTGCCATTAATATATTCTAGCAGCATCTCACTAGGCAGGGTTTCCCTATCAAAATAGTGTTTCCTGACAGCGTTCAGTGCTGGGCAAGTTGAATAATAATTATATATATTAAAATAGTAAAATAATACTCAATACAATTTTTTTTGTGAATATCAGCCCATTTGCACAATTATTTGTTTACCAAACTGTATTAATTAGTCAACATTACTTACGCAATTTATTTTTGTTATATAACTTCGTTCTGATAATCTTTTTCCTTGTGACATTCTTTTCTTGTCGTAAGCTTTAACGATTTTTGTTCAATCATAAATCTTATCTTTCAGCTGTCTATAGATAAAAAACAATTGTTGGTTTCTAGGACCCATTGGCAAGAACGCTTGGGCACATATCAAAAACTTTTCGAACTAGTATCAACAAAAATATATTCATTAAAATAGATAATCCAACGTCTGTAGCTTCCCTTTCATAAGACATATACTGTAGATTTGTACAACCAAAAGAGAAGTCGGAGGCAGCAAAGGTTTAGGCGTTGACTAGGCGATCATCACTGTAAGTTATCCCGAGGGGGATAACTTTAGATCGCATAATACATTTTGAAAACTATTAATGGGTACTTTGTCAAAGATTTAATTTATAATAATTGTTTGAAAGTGTAAATCATTTTGTAGAAAGAGAAAACCACTTTAATATGCAGAATCTAAACCACAGTTGACTTAAATTATCTTAAAATTATAATCCTCCTTCTATTTCAACACATTTCAATCATAGAAACTGTGGAAACTATGTGTAATCGTCAGAAACAAGCTTAATAAACGTTTTCTAAAACTCTGTCTTTCAAGGAAAATAGACACGATTAAATTGGTAGAAGTTAAATATTAAACTTTCAATGTTTCGTTGTTTTTGAAAAAGTCGACTTTCAGCAGCAAAAGGGCACTTTGGAAAATCCTAATTAGAGTGAATAAAAGGTAGCGCTTCTTCTCGTCCTTCTTGTTAAAAAGAAACAAAGGACAAAGGGACGGAGACTACTTAGTATTAACTAGTACAAGTGGAATAAATTTCCTTTGGAGTTGCGACGACCGACCTCTTGGAAATTTGTAATTTTAACTGTAATAACTGCATCCATGGAAAATTTTGTCCAATCCTTGGATTATAATAAATCCTTCGTTAAAGCAAATTAAGGAGGAATTGCAGTTGAGAAAATGGTCAACTTTATCGAAATCCCCAAAGAAAAAGATCATCAAACAATATAACAAAATTTAAACCCACAGTAATTTTATCTATAAAGTTAAAGTGTTTCTTCAATTCGACCCATTACCAAAAAATAACCTGTTTCCTTAGAATCGATATTTTTACACAAAAACATGGATTTTTTCAGCGTCGAGATTTTATCAATTAAAGCAACGGTATTTGCAAAAAATCGATTTTTTCGGCAACGATATTTTATCACATAGCATCAGTGTTTCTTCAACTCGATTCTTTACGACAAAAGCATCGAGGTATCTTTAGCACTCGAACATGACAAACCCCGCACGAAGTACATAATAATATTTATAAATGGATACTATTCATTAAAGTTTATAACTTTAAATTTTAGTTAAGCGAAAAGTGTGTTATAAGAAAAAACATTATATTGTAAACAATAGCATATTTTTTCTTCAACTCGATTCTTTTTCGCATAATATCGATTTCGCTCTTCGATATTTATATATTTTATCAAATAACCGCAGTTTTTTAACATCAATATTTTATTTTAAAAAACGATGTTTCTTCAACTCGACCTTTTACCATAAAAACATTAACGTTTCTACAGAATTCTTATTTTATCAAATAGCATCAATGTTTCTTCAATTCGATCCTTTACCAAAAAATCTCCCATGTTTCTTTAGAATCAATATTTTTACACAAAACCATCGATTTTTTTTCAGCAACGATAATTTATCAAATAGTATCAGTGTCTCTTAAACACGATTCTTTACGACAAAACCATCTAGATTTTTTAAGTTCAAAATTATTTATTTACTGCCCATATACATGTATACGTATATATGTTTACAAGTTATGTTACCAGAAATAATTCTTTACCTCTCGACTTAAATAAATAAAGAATATAAAACCCAACACTGAGATAAGCATCGAGGTATCTTTAGCATTTATAGTGCCCAAAAAACATCCATTTTTTCACAATCGTTATTTTATCAAATAAAATCGTTGTTTCTTCAGAAAGACTATTTCGACTAACGAACAATCGTTTTATCTATTCGATAGAAGACACAGGTAGCTTTCACAGAAAATTCGACTGAAAATTTCACTACTTCTTATATCATATGTGGTGTGAACATAGGCCATCCTGATCATCATTACAATGAAAGCATCTTATGCCACGCTAAAGAAGTATTCAATGTACCTAATACATATCACTTATCTTTTTAGGTACAGTTTTGAGTCATTATTCCAAAAGAAAGACTGTATGTGATTGTTGTTGTATTTTATGTTTCTATCGTACCACATTAGATAATAATAAATACCTGATTGATACGGCCATTTCATTAAAAAAAATAATCCAACGTAGCATTGTTTGCCGTATGTGTTGATGGACTATTTTTCAGCACGTGCGACCAATTCCGGCGTTGTCGTTATCGCCCTGGTGCGTGTAAAGTGTTAAAACCCCATGCGACCGATGCCATTCGTTCGGCACTTCCATAGATAATGGACCGTGAGGAGTAGACAAAAGGGGGTGTCTTAAAACGCTGGGTGTGAGCTAAAATTTCCCGGTTGAATGAATACGGAATGAGCGGCGTACCGGAAAAAAAGTCAAACGTCAAAACATCACTTCCACAACCCCTGCTGCATTGTGATGACGGACGGCTTCAGTGTGAATAGAAGGAGCATGAGTCGTCACAAGGGGAAAACTTGTATATAACAGGAGGACGAAACCAAACACAACGTGAATAACGTCAAAACCTGACTTTAGAAAATTACGATCAACTATCATCTCTTTTGTTAATAATTAAAAACAAGACCTCTCATTTATTTATTAGTACAAATGTAAAAACTTTTCAAGG